TATTTTATTTAAAGCAGCTATTTTCTATACAGTGACGATCAGTCTATACTCCTATTCCTAATAATGGTTCATCAATGTTTATGATCACCTTTTCTAAGAGTTATCTCTTGTTTTCTGAACAAAAACTAAAAAACGAAGAGATAAAAAAATGTTTAGTCTCAATATTTATTAATGGTTTATGATTGTTGAATTTTCTATCAAATAAATATTTGCCATTAGTAGAGAAATGATCTGTTGCTAACAAGTCTAATAATATTATTGAAATAATCAACAATTTGTCCATTTAATTTCATCCAAACAACTTTGATAACCTCACTTTATCGAAGTTGTAACTTCGATGAAATAATTTATAGAAGTTATAACTTCGATAAACATGCTAACCTCGATACGACATATATATAAGGAATGATTTTCTTATATGAAATCATTCCATTCAATCGAACATTTCTTCGTCAACAGATTAAGTAAGTACTCTAATAAACTTTTTTCTTTCAAGAGGTGTAATATACAAATATTTAAATAATTATGGAATTTATTATAATGAAATTTATACATTCATATGCTAGCATATCATTACTTACATACATTAGGATTATTACTAAAATTTTTTACAGTGACAATGAATAATATTAAATTATTATAAATATTATATTATATTAAAATAAAATTGTTTACAATGTTCCGAAGTTGAATTATCGACTTCCATGTTATCGTTTCGGTCGATCCTATTATTATCGATATTATATAATGAATTACAATAATATTTGCGTGACCAATACAACAAGCAAGACAGGTATGTTGCTTGAATTTTTTCTATTCAGAAGAGATAAAATAATAGAGTAGTATAAGTTAAGTTGGTTTCTTTTTTCTTTTTGAAATTGAGAAAAGGGATATAAAATTTAGAAGTCCTAGTGGCCAATAGGACTTCTGACGATAACTTTTATTTATAAGGTAGACATGCCTTCCATTCCGGATGGAACAGTTTCTTATTTTCTTTAAATACCTTACATGAATGTATTCATTGTAACATATGAAAGTAAAAAAGAGAAAACTCTTTTATCTTTGACAATAGCTATGTTATTGTCTAGTAGTAGTTGAGGTATCATATTATATCATAGCCTTGTTAGGCGGCTTCGTAACCTTATTCAGGGAGATTTCTTGTGCCTGTTATGGCGAAAGCAGTGTAGAACTCGGGAAGGCCGCTATGTTCGTAGGTCCCTGTCGTCGTTATTCTTCGTCCTACCTACCGTTCATTGCCCTACTAGTCCAGTCTGGTCCGCTTTGTGTGTACCCATTTTAGGCTTACAGAGAATCTCACTGGTCGCGCGTGCCTGTACGCCATAATAAGCCAAAAAAAAGCCGGAAAAGAAGGCGAATAGCGATGCGAACAAATTTATTGAGCAAGTCAATGAAAAAAAAACAAATTTACATCTTCTTTTTCACATAGTCAATATTATCTATCGTTCGCTTAATACCAGGATGTGTTGGTGGAAGTGATTTTTGTCGAATAGCAAGTGTCTTCTCTAAAAATGAAAGTGCTTTCGAGTAGTCACCCATACCGGAATACGCAGTACCCATGTTGTTGTATGAAGTAGCCAATAAGGGATGATTCGGAGGCAGAGTTTTTTCTTCTATTTTAAGTGCTTTGTCGTAAAATTCAAGTGCATTCGAGTAGTAACCCATACCGGCATACGTAGCACCGATGTTGTTGTATGAAGTAGCCAATGAGAGATGATTCGCAGGCAGAGTTTTTTCGAAGATTTTTAGTGCTTTGTTGTAAAATTCAAATGCTTTCGAGTACTCACCCATGCTGTCATACACAGCACCGACGTTGCTGTATGAAGCAGCCAAATCGGGATGATTCGGACGCAGAGTCTTTTCTTGTATTTTAAGTGTTTTGTCGTAAAATTCAAGTGCTTTCGAGTAGTCATCCATACCGTAATACGCCAGGCCGATGTTGTTGTATGAAGTAGCCAATGAGGGATGATTCGGAGGCAGAGTTTTTTCTTGTATTTTAAGTGCTTTGTTGTAAAATTCAAATGCTTTCGAGTACTCACCCCTGTTGTCATACCCAGTACCGATGTTGCTGTATGAAGCAGCCAAATCGGGATGATTCGGAGGCAGAGTTTTTTCGACGATTTTTAGTGCTTTGTTGTAAAATTCAAGTGTTTTCGGGTAGTCACGCATGTTGCCATACACTCGACCAATGTTGTTGTATGAAGTACCCAATAAGGGATGATTCGGAGGCAGAGTTTTTTCTTCTATTTTAAGTGCTTTGTCGTAAAATTCAAGTGCTTTCGAGTAGTCACCCATGTCGTCGTACAGTCCACCGATGTTGTTGTAGGCACAAGTCAATAAAGAATGATCTTCTGGAAGAGTTTTTCGCTTAACTTCGAGATATTTCTCATAAAATGAAACTGCTGCTTTGTATTGTCCTTGGTCAGCTCTCACCAATCCCAGTTGGTGATAGATATATGCTTTATCATCGTCATTGGAAGCATTCTTGAATAATTGATTGTAGAGTTCTTCAGCTGGAGTGAAGTGTCCCATTTTGAGCATCAGTTGACCCATTCGGTCCCATTCGGTGCCGTTGATCTCCTCTCGCATATGTTTGGTGAGGACAGCCAATTGTGGATCATTTTCACCTGTGAGAGTTAATTGAGCCTCCCAGAGGCGACGATTGTTTACTGTCTGCTTCATTTCACCGACGCGAAAGACAGTATGCATCGAAAACAGAATTTCTTTTTCGCTTTTAATAGCACTGTATTCGTCGATAAGAGCGAATGGAGTACTTGAAGCTGAAACATTATTTGAATCAGTTGTCATAATAAAGAGAACTCCTACGTGGTCTTTATAATTTCGTAATGCACGTTGAACAAAGTTCAAAGCGACCTGTTGTTTTGTACTAGTCGACAAGAAACTGTTGAACGAGAGGAGTCCATCTTTCGTGTCGACTAGATGTTGAAAGTCCTTTTCAGTGAGTGCTTGACCACGATAGACAATAAACTGTTTCTTATACGCATCCGATTGTTTCTTATGCAGTTGTTCTAGTTGTCGATGAAGATTGCGGATGAAAAAGCCCATCTTTGTCATAGTCTCCATATCGAGTGACCGTAGGGCACTATTAAGCATACCGTACAGGAAAATTTCACAAGTATAACAATAGACTGGCGTCTTCTGATGATATTCACGTTGGAAGCGCTCCAATTGGGATTCAGGAACGTTTCTGTTACGGCAATAGGCTACTAGATCTTTTACCGACTTAGCCTCGTCCTCATTGATTTCCAATATGATCTCTTTGAATAACATCGAATACATAAAGGATGGTTCTAATTGATTAAGATTTCGTTCATCCAATGTTACTGCTGCTGTCATCATTCGCTTCGGAACGAAGCTCATCGGTATTTGGTCATGGTCGCATTGACGAGCGACCTTTTCTAATGACTCACATATTGGCTTGATTGCAGTGAAAACACCTTGAATTTTTGCCCATTTTGTTGCCCATTCTTTGTATTGTACTTCGTTCTCGCAAAAGATGCAAATGGAATCAAGATTGGCAATATCATGGATTAAGGGTACCGTTTGTTGGCTCATAGTACCTGATACAACGAGGAACGTCGTTCTGTCCTCAACTTCAGTGAGGAAGTCAACACAGTCATCCGGTTGGGTGAATGTGTTGACGTCATTAACAACGTTGCGCAATTGCGCAATTGTATCTTGACAATTCTGCTTTGTTTGATCAATACTACCATCGAGCCAAATGAGCAAATAATTTTGAGTCACAAACCGTCTTGATTCAATAGTATCTGACGATGTTGTTTTATGTGCAGCGGCATCCATTGTAGATGTGGATATTTTTTGTCCACTCATATTGAGTGCGAATGATTGCTTGATCGTTAACTCAGAATGGTGAATAATAAATTGTTGTTTGGACAGAGATCACCTTTTTTATTTATACATTTGTTGCCTGCTGTTTTTTTTCTAGATTTTTCTACGACGTCAAACACGGATGATTTTTTT